TTGAGTTTCTGTTTGATTTAAAAAAAAAATAGTAAATTGCAGGTGATTATTGTTTAAAGTGTTCATGTCATAAGCTTGGAAAAAAAAAATAATAATAAATATTTAAGCATGACAAGGATTAGGATATTGATAGGCATAACTTTATTTTCCGAGCTGCTAATTGTTAGAATTGTTTGTCAAAGATACCAAAAATGTGATCAAAGTTTTCGACTATACAAAAATAACTGTTGTTTTCCAAATGTATGGCGGATTGTTTATATAATAGTACTGATATGCTAGTCGCACTTGTATATGTTGATAGAAACTTCTAAAAATTGACGTTGATAAAATTTTAGTTTTGTTCTACAATGTCAAAAAAAAGATTGAATGAATTAGTCATAGTGTTTATCGAAAAAGAAGTTCTAAAGCAGATTGATAGATCGTTGTTGATTTTCTATTTAAAAAAACAAAGAATTCTAGAAAAATAAATTCTGCCCCTATTTAGTAATGATTAAAATCAGATTTTTATAAAAAAGTTGATGAATTGTGCAATTAAAAAGTTGTGAATTTCATGAAGTATATGATTAAAATTAATCGTTGATTTTAATTTAAATTAAAATCGAATTTTTAATCCTGAACAGACATGGACTTAATCTAAACATTTGAATGTTTTAGATTATTATTATTTTAACTTTGAATATTTTATTTAATAAAAATTGCTGTTGTTGTTGTTATTATTATTATTATTTGAGCCACATTATCTTCATAAAAATCCATTCTTGAATAGTGTAATAATGGGAAATGTATGGTTAAAAAATAAGAAAAATTTTGGATTTGTGTCTAACATTATTTTATTAAAAAATGTGTAATTGAAAGATGTTAAATTACTGTTTAAGAATGCAATTTTTTTTTTCAAATAGTATGAATCAATCATTAAATTAATTTAAAGGTCCAAATTCATTTTATTTATTTTTTTAACTTCTAAAATCATAAATTGATCCAACTCATCCCCAATACCACTTACCCTACCCCACCTAAATCTACGAACCCAATCCCCCATTCTCTCAGTTTCACAGAAAGAGAGAGTTTAGTTATTTTATGGTTAATTACATTTCAATTTATTGTGATGTAGATCTTCAAATTGAGTGAGAACCTCTCCAAATGAGATATAAAGAAAATACAAATTGCATTTTTCAACAAAAAATATAAAATATATAAATTTATATTTTTTCTTACATTTATAAGAAACAAAAAGTAAATTTAGATCTTCTTATTGGAGTAAATTTTGAATGTAATTCCATTGGAATGTAAATGAAGATGTAAATGTGATTTTTGAGATACTAATTTATATTCAATTTTACACCGTAAATCAAATCGAACTGATTAATTTTAGATCCATAAAGACACATCAACTTTTCAGTTTTAGACATATTAAGAACCTGTTTGAGAGTGATTTTAAGAATTTATTTTTCGACCGTTAGGAAAAAATGGGGTTCACCTGTGAGAGAAGAAATCAAATATGACGACTGAAATAATGAAATAACGATCAAAAAAATTAATTTTTTGAGGAAAAATCACTCCCAAACAAGCTCTAAATTTATAAAGCGATAACCCAGAACCGTATGGCTGCCAATAATTGTGTCCATGTTCTCAATTATTTCTTGGATAACATCAAGCTGGCTGTCCACTCAACAGCCCTTGCTTTATAATAATAAATTTAGGATTGGAAATATTTTAGTTTATATATTGAGTACTCATTCGTATGTGTTATGCTTTTGAATAATGCAACACGCTGAAAAATAGATTTAAAAATAAGGTGTACACATGTCAACATATAATTAGATTATTTTAAAAATAAAAATAACAAACACCCAATTATGTGCTGTCAAGTCAGTCTGTTCCCCTTTGAGCCTGGATATGATTTTATTTTATAGTTGGCTCTGCTTCTTTTCAATTTGTTAGCATCCAGAGATAGAATTTTAGTTATATAATTTAGATCCATTCATTTTGTGTTTTGCAAATGTTTATATGTTTATATATCCCTTTTGAACCATGCATCTTCTTTAGCTTGTTTTAGATATAGTCTCTATTGTATTCTTGAATATGTATATACAAATTGTTGCATACATTTTATATTTTGGAGACTTGTGGCTGGATTCTAAATTTTCCCTATCTTTTGGTTTACATTGACAAATTTTACTTTTGGTACCGATTTAAGTTCCCCTGTTCATATAATATCTAAAAGGCTTAATGAAGTAAGGAAAAGTGTGTTCCATACATTTTAATTTATTCTATAATGCAAGAATTAACGATGCTAATATGGTCATTCATGTAAATCATTGTTTGAAACTAATCTGAACAAAAACAAAAACAAAAAATAAATAAATAAATTTGATTTGGTTTGGTTTGGGTTTGTTTAAAAATGAAATGCTTTGGGTTAATTCGGAAAAATTCCAAAATGTTTTAAAGGGTTTAGTTAAGGGATAAGAATCTCATATCGAATCAAGATGAAAATATAGATTAATTTACAATGGTTTGGTCTACTCTTTTTAATAAGATTGACATTTTAAGATATATTCCCAAATCCTAAAATGGTATTAGAGCTCATTACATTTAAACGAGTAATTCGATCAGATTAAGACTCAAAAAATGAGCACACGAATTTCAAAATTAATTTGGTCAAACAAGTCACCGTCTTGCAAAAGTATGTTATGGGTTAAAATCACATATTGAATAAAGATGAAAAACATGGACCAATTTATACATGAGGGGTTCGAGATAAAGAGATGGCAAGCCAAAAGGACGATAGGAGATGATCGTTCTGAGAGGCGATGTCGATGAGTTTTAGCCTAGCTCCGAGAAGAAGGTAACGGTACCTTATTGAGCACGAGATTTGACCAAGAAGAAGAATTAGTCATAGATCAGCGAGACATAAAGTAGGTGATTAACTGAGGTAGAAAAGGAACTCCAAATCTTAATATGTTTGATTTGAAAATTGGTCAAAAACTATTCAAAACAAACATCAATCACCCCTAGCTTAGACCGAAGATGTGATAATGGCGACAAATGCTATCGAGTTGAGGCAGATTCGACTACGGCTATTCATTGCATCGCCAAGGGTGGAGGACCATGGATGATTGAGAACATTTTTTAGACGGATCAAAGACATCATCTTCTTTGATGGAGACATGATTTTTCACATATACATAGAGGGAAACTAGATTGTAGACTCCCTTGCTGCATAGAGTTGGAATCAACGTCGCTATGAAAAGTATGGACCATTTGACTTACCTCGACAAATTAGGACATTTGTGCAAATTGACGGATATGGATTGCTTAACTTTAGAGGTTTATAGACTAGTTCTTCTTTGCCTTTACTTTCTTTGAATGGGAAGTTGCACTTTCCAATTTATCGATTTCCCTTTTCTTTTTTTCTTTTTTTGGGTCATTTGTTGCTATGTTGCATTTATTAGGTCAGGTTTATGCTCCCTCCTTTAACGTATACTAACCTATTTTCTATATATATAGTTGGGGAGTCCTTAATCTCCATCGACCTTCCTTAGTGTAATCTAAAAATTCACTATGGATATGCAAACTTCTTTGTCAAAAAAAAAAAATAATAATAATAATAAAATAAAAATTACTTGTGATGACGTGACTTAATATGAGCCCAATTCCATCCATAACTTCTACAGATGACTCGTAACATGGCCTGCTAGCAGCCCGGGAATTTGCGGGTCCAAGCGGCTAAGCTATTTTGACACGTTATTGCTTTTTGCAAAAATAGGATTAGAAGTTGATCTACAGCCAAATAGCTTGAGAGAGAAATAAATAATAATAACAATAAATAAATAAAGGAAGAGAGAGTATAATTAATTGATTGAAAAATTCCAGACTTTTATTGATTTTTCAAATGTGACTTTTATTGATTTTTCAAATGTATGACACCAACCTCAGGGTGCTGCCGACGCACTCCCCGTTTTGTCCTCACTCTCCATTCTTAATTTCTCCTTCTGTTTCTCTGGTTGGCTCCTTTGTCTCACTCTGATTTTATTGATGCATCTGTTTTCATTATATTTTTTCTTCTCGTGAAACCCTTTGCTTAGCGTCTCATTCAAGGGTTTGTTCTCTTACTCTGCATTCTTGTTCTGCTTATTTTACCTCTTTTTGATGTCCACGTTTCATTCTGTCACCTGGGTCTTATCGAATTTGATGTTTTATATGATTACCAATATATTTGTTTCTTTCAGATATGCGAGCGTATGATTTTGTATAAATTGATTTCTTGTTATACCTTTTTTTCCTTGGGTTTTTAAGACGTATGAAATTGGTCACTGGACTCCGTCAACTTTCCGTTTTAGATTAATATGAACTTGTCTTGGTTCAAGCAAAGTATTCGGATTTCTGAGAGTGATTTTACAGTTTTATGCTTGTTTTGTATTTCTAATAGGTTATAAATTGGTTAAATTACTGACATTTGAATGAAGTTTTGGTGATCACCTTTAGAATTAATTTGGTCTATGGGCAGCAGAAAATTCAAGAAATTTATAAATATCAAAATTAACGACAGAACCAGTTTTTATTTAGAGATAATCTATATTGAAAGCTCCACTGCACAAGATGGCGGACATCTAGAACACAAGTATAATATTGGCTAGACAGGGGGATTAAAAATTGAGCTACTCCGATCCTAATATAACTGCAAGACTCTGTACAAGGCTCTTGTACGTATGTGATCGAAACTCCTTGTCATAACCACACAAAGCTGATATTCAATCTTCCCAAAACAGGATTCGACATGCCATAAATCATTTTGAACTTGTTTTCAAGTTTGAACTTTGAACTATTCTCTCCCTTTTCACACTTTTTAATCTTGATGTTTAGTGTTGGCCTCTAATTTTGATTTAAATTTGTAGATTACCTTTTCTCTCTCTTTATGATTTCCTTGCTTGATACAAGATGATCTTACATTTTCTTCACCTCTAAATGAATGAAGTTTCTAAAATAATTTTCTTCGGCAGACTGGTTATTCATTAATTGAATCTGAGTGATACGCTAGAACTTTCTTGGTGTGTGGTTACCATGACTTTCAAGAAAATGGAGATTACCAATGTTATGGAGTATGAGACCATTGCAAGGGAGAAACTACCAAAGATGGTTTATGACTATTATGCCTCTGGTGCGGAAGATCAATGGACTCTCCAAGAGAATCGAAATGCTTTCTCTAGAATACTGTAATATGCCTCCTCCTTCAATTAGCATACAATTGAATCATCAATATCTTTTCCAATTTCTCTTTTTGTTATGTGCTCTTGAGTTTACTCTTCTTTTTCAGGTGTTTTCATCGTTTGCCTTTAAAAATTGTATTCTTTATTTAACGTAGGTTCCGGCCTCGTATTCTAGTTGACGTTAGCAGCATTGATACAACCACAACCACCTTGGGCTTCAAGGTCTCGATGCCCATAATGATCGCTCCAACAGCTATGCAGAAAATGGCTCACCCTGAAGGTATATATAGCTCTTCTTGAGCTCACTCTAAGAGCTAGCTAATTAACGCATTTAGCATGCCTGAATTGCTGGGATCCGGGACAACAAAATTTAATTGACCGTCAATGGATTTTTATATTGTGTATTTTCACATATGAAATCTTTAACATGTTGTAGAGATGCAACTCATAATTTATGGATGGAAACACTTCCAGATGTATTTCCTTGAACTGATATGCATACAAGATGCATTTGACGTGTGAAGTGTGCTTAGGTTCTTTGTGTTTTTGATTGATACCAGTCCTCAATCGTTGACATGTAGTGAACCATCTCATCTAAAATTGTAAGCTGTCACATAGAAATCATGTTTATTTATTTAGATTTAGTCTTAACACCCCCCCCCCCCCCCCACCTCCCCCAATCCCATCATGCCAGATTCATTTTTTATCCAAAGCCTGACACTTACCATTTTTACAAGTAGGTGGCGGCGAGATTTAAACTACCTTTGCTTGCTCAGTTACCCTATTGAATACATAATAATTTATTTAAACTTAGTCTTTGACAACTTGTTTTACAGAAGTCTTTCTCCTTTGATTGGGATTCTTACTCCTTCTCTGAAACCTAATGTTACTTTGATGCAGGAGAGCTCGCGACAGCAAGAGCAGCATCAGCCGCTGGCACCATCATGGTTTGGATTTCTATTCACCTTCATTTTTGTCTTTTCTACATGCTGTGTTATTTGTTATTGGTTATATGTAGAGATTTGAACATGATTACTATTGTTGAGCTACTGATTGATTCATGATTTCATATTACAGACATTATCCTCATGGGGTACTTCCAGCGTTGAAGAGATTGCCTCAACAGGACCTGGCATTCGATTTTTCCAACTTTATGTGAGTTTCACTTCCATTTGTTTGTTAATCCAATTGCTATATGCTTCTCTCATTGTGTTGGCCAGTAGCAAAAAAATCTTGCCACTGTTTTTATATCTCATTGCCACTGTATATTAAATGAGCATCTGAATCAAGGATAAATTTCAGCTGATTACAGATATTTTTCTTTTAATTAGGTTTGCAAAGATAGGAATGTTGTCATACAGCTTGTGAAAAGGGCAGAAAGGGCTGGTTTCAAGGCAATTGTCCTTACAGTAGATACCCCAAGACTGGGACGAAGAGAAGCTGATATCAAGAACAGGTGATTTTGTGGAGACCAAAACTGGCGATTCAGTTGCTTACTTGATGTTTTATTTAACTACTAAATTTGCTGATGTAACAGATTCGCTTTGCCATCCAACTTGACTTTGAAGAATTTTGAGGGATTGGATCTTGGAAAGATAGATAGGGTGAATAAGCTTAAAATTACATCTTACAATAAATTTCTTTTATGTATTATCTATTTTAATCACAGTAATATTGGGATGACTGCAGACCAATGACTCTGGACTCGCTTCATATGTTGCTGACCAAGTTGACCAATCTCTTAGCTGGAAGGTAAAATTGCCGTTGCTCTCTTTGCATTACTTGAATAATGGGAAAAAGTGTCAAACAATATTCTTGGGAATTCCTTGCAGGATGTGAAGTGGCTCCAGACAATCACTCGATTGCCAATTCTAGTAAAGGGTGTGATAACTGCCGAGGATGGTAGGCGTAGTACCATACAAATGATTACAGTATTTCCTGTTCCTCAACTCCCTAATAATCTTGTATAATCTACGTACTTTTCATATTTTTAGCAAGACTAGTGGTACAAGCAGGAGCAGCTGGAGTTATTGTGTCAAATCATGGGGCTCGACAACTTGATTATGTCCCTGCAACTATAATGTCATTGGAAGAGGTTTCTTTACTAACTTTCACACTACAGTAATTCTACATAAATTTCCGTTATCTGAAATTTTGGTTTTAACATTAACATTATTATTAAGTAACAGCTAATTATTTTGGTAATTAATTGTGTGACTTACAAAAACATCCAACTTTTTGATCAATCTCTATAAATTTTCCGTCATCCCTCATCTCTTATTTCCCACTTTCACATGTTCTTAAAATCATATCTTGTAATTTTTAATGCATTGTGATATGAAAACTTGCAGGTTGTGAAAGCAGTACAGGGAAAAGTGCCTGTTTTTCTTGACGGTGGGGTTAGACGGGGAACAGACGTTTTTAAAGCATTGGCCCTTGGAGCATCCGGTGTATTTGTAAGTACACTCTTGCTGAATTGCCACCTTGGCTAATACACAAGGCATTGGCTTCCAATAAGCAATTTAATGTCATTTACCTTTTTCTTTTACGACACCCTATTCTAGAAACACATGAAAATTGTGATCATGTCTGTCCCCCAACTTGTTGAAATGGTACAAATCTTGGCAGTTACTTATAGGGAATATCAAATTCAAATGTTAAAATCATTGTCTGAAGACTGAAATTTGTGGTACTGACAGATTGGAAGGCCGGTTTTGTTCTCATTAGCAGCTGATGGTGAGGCAGGTGTAAGGAAAGTACTTCAGATGCTTCACGATGAGCTTGAGCTGACCATGGCTTTGAGTGGTTGTCGCTCCATCAAGGAGATCACTCGTGCCCATGTAGTGACTCCGTGGGATAACCCTCATGTTGCACCCAGGCTATAGATTGTCTTATCGAGTATTGTCATCATTTCACATACAACCGATGTATTTTCTGGACCCATGAAGTGCATGGAACATTGTTATCATCCATCGGAATAATGTACTGGGAATCGATCTTCTCTCTAATTTTTGACATGAGAGATTTTTCTCTGATAATTCTCATGTCAAAAATCCTTACTACTTTAGTGACTTTTGCTATTGATAAACATATGTTTCATAATAAGAGGGACACCCAGCAGTGAAGTCATCTCATTTGTGGACGACATATTCTTTTTCTTGTTTTTTTAGTTCTTTTTACTTTCTTTATTCCTACTTAAAGATTTTGCAACATGACTATTCTAAATTAGATGTTCCAGCATGACATTGGTCACCAAGCATCCTTGTGTTACAGTTGATACCCAAGGATTGCGAAAAAGAGAAGCTGATATCAAGAACAGGTTATTTTGCGGAGACTAAGGGATCATTTGGCATGACTTTTGAAAAATTAAAAATTTTTGAGATCCAAAAGTTGCATTTCCGTTGGATTAGAAGAACTTTCAGAGGAAACTGGCTCATGTGTTTTCTTTTAAAAGCACTTTTGGAATAGGAAGCTCTTTTAAAAATTAATTTTCAAACAAAAAGTAATTTTCTCCAAAAATTCTTTTACAGAAAGCAAAAGGCATGACAAATGAGCCTTAAATCTGGAGATTGAGTTGCTTAATTGATGTTTTTATTTAACTACTAAATTGCTTATATAGCAGATTCACTTCGCCATCCAACTTCGAAGAATTTTGAGAGATTGATCTTGGAATTTACGTGACAAATAATATGATTATCTAATTGGAATCGAAGTAACATTTGTGATGACTCCAGACCAGTGACTCGACTTGTGTCATATGTTGCTGGCCAAGTTTGACAGATAATCTCATTTACTTTTCATCTCATTTTTAAGCTACCTCATTATAGAAAACTTGAAAATTGAGCCCATTTTCCTCGCCAACTTGTTAGTGTTGTGCATAGCGACCTTGAGGGTGTGCGAGTTGAACGGTTGCACATGATCTTAGCATTGTAGGGCCACCAAAAAAAAAATTTTATATAGGTGTGTAAAATAATATATTTAAAATGTTTTATTATTGTTAAGTTCAAGAACACAAAATTTATGAAAAAAGATCTTAAAAAAATTATAGTACGTTAATATTTTTTAATTTAACACATTATTGAAAAAAAAAATTCATTTTTCAAACTTTAAACTATCTTGCTTTCGGGAAAAATAATAATAATAAAATAAAATAAAATTTAAACTACCTATTTTACAAGTCTAATCTTAAATGTCCAATTAGCTTCATTAATCAATTACCAACTCAACAAAACAATAAGCAGCCTAAAATCTAAATGAACAAAGTAAAGATTGAAGAGTGAAAAGCTAACCCCAATTATGTTTTCGCCATTTTCCTCTCTTCCACCTTTGCATGAAGAGATTAGTGTCTTAGATGGTTATTTATTGATCACATATGGATATTAATGAAGTTAGAGAGGTGTTTCTGAGCTTTACTTGTACTTTTCTTATTAACGACGTGTAAAAAAATAAATAAATATTTAAATGTCGTATTTTTACAATTAAATAATATTATTGGAATATATTTTTTAATTACATTAAAGGGTTGGGCACCACTTTAAAATGTCACACATTGCACCCAAAATTTTATGGCCGGCCCTGCTGTCATGAATAGGGAAGTTAACATCACAGAAAATGGTATCTTATGAAGACAAATATTTCATGTATGTAGGATTTCATTTCTTTGTGTCTTTGACGAAAAATATAATAATTTTGTTTTAATAAAAAAACACTTGTTTTAGAGATGATCATTGTAGTTTGTTTAAAAAAAAAATTTCTCTTGCAGTTGTTTTTCTTGAATTTTCTTGATTCTACATCCAAACCATCGGGCATTCTTCGATATTCTTCAAGGACTATAAAATTAGTGCAGAGATTTAATGTGTGTCATTTGATTATGAAATAAAAGCCCCCACTGCCATGTGTCTATTACACATGATTGGTTGGTTTACATGTCTGAATTCAATTTAATTAATTTTATTATAATTCACAATAAATTATAACTCTTATTATATTTACTATTTATCTCAATTTTCTTCTGGAAACACTAAGGGACTTGATCGGACTCAATTAAACTAAATTCCATAAATTAATTTCGATCCGATCAACTCTTGATGCGGTCAAAATAATATATTAATTACGCTCTATTCCACTAAAAGAAATAGGTTGCATTCTCAATTTAAATGAAATTATTGATGTTGTAAGATTAATATTATATTTCGTGACTTATCGCTCTTATTATTATTCCCATTGATAATCTTGAATATGTGGAAGAAGATTAAAATGACCAAAATGTCATTTTCAAAATATTTATAAATTCTCAAGTCCTATTTTTTATTTGATAGTACCATGTGATCACATCACAATATTGATTATATAATCGATGTCGAATTACTGGGCTCAGATTAATTGTCCACTTGAAAATTTATTGAGATCACGATCATGCCTATAAAATATGTGATAAATTACTTATCGAGAATATATGTTCCCGTTAGTTCATGTTAATTATCAAGGCTTGAGATATCGATCTACAATTTGATCTTCAACTATTGATAACTCAAAGAATTTCAAGTTAATAATTTAAGTCCATTACTCTCTCAAAATTAAGATCTCACATTCAACAATCAAACAAAATCAAACTTGTGTGGTTAATATCACAAATTAAATTTCACGTGATTCTAATCCAACACAATCAATACGTACACTCAATCTCATTAAAATCAAAGATGAACTTTATAAACTTGAGATCACCTTATCAAAAGATAGTATTCGAACTTGTTTACTAATCAGTTGAATTATAAATTGTAGATAGAATTATAAATCAAATCTTTCAATGCTTAATAACTTAAGCACTCGATTTATAACATCAAAACGAGCTACGAACAAATGCAACTCAAATTAATACAATCAACTTTTCAAAAAAATTACTTGAGTGGCAAATGCTATATGTTTGATCCCTTTTTTTCTTTTTCTTTTTTCAAAAATACATTTTTCTCTTTCTTTCTTTTTTCAATAACACATTATTCAATAAAATAATATTACACACATACTCAAAACTTTTCTTTATTTTTTAACCACGAATTCTTCATTAATCTACTATTTTAAAATGTATTCTTGACATTATAATGGAGCTCAAACAAACAGTAAGAGTTGGAACAGTACAAATCCGTGTTAAAATCACATCATATTCAAACTTTAGTCGTTATCTAAAGACTGAAATTGTTGGCATGAGTTGTAAAATTAGAGTAATTTGTGGCAATAATCTTCTAATTAAAGTTGTAATTATAGCTGTCTATCTTAATTAGTTGGAAGTAACCAAATATAGAGGTCATCCGGCTGTTATATGTATCTCTAAATTTCTGGTTATTGAATATACAAGAATTGCAGAAAATATATTCCCTAAACTATCAGAAATTTGTGGCAAAAATGATGACAGATTGGAAGATATAAGCAAAGTGCTTGTTGCCATGTCTTCGAGTGGTTGCTGCTCCATCAAGGAGATCACACGTGCCCATATATCGTCTAGATTTTAATTTCAATTTGTTGGTATTGTACCAGATAGACAAGCAGCGAATTATATTACAATATCTCTATTCTATAGAATTTAGAATGGTAATCATAATAACCAGCTTTAATAACTCATACACCCTGCTAAGATAAATATCAACAACATCATTCCAAAAAGTATGCAGGAGATAAGAAAGAGAAAATCTAATTAAATAAGTGTATGCTGTTTAGAGAATTGAAGAGGAAACTGGACGATCAGTTTCAAACAAAACGTAGCTCTCTTCACTAGGACTAACATACTAAAATTTCAATTTAATTAAACCATGAATAAGCCTCGATCATTGGCAAAAAGAGCTGAAATCCTTTTATCTCTTTCTCTTGTTCTCTTTTCTGTTTTCATTCTCTGTATCTATGTCATTTATCTTTGATTTTTTGCTTTTAAAATTGGTTTGGTACTTGGTGGAAATTGGTCCTCTCTTACCATTAAAATTAGCAAGTTCTCTCACGTGAGAGGAAGACCCAACAAATCTCCCTCTCCCGACTATGTGAGGGACTCCACCAAGCCCACATTCCTTCTACATATATGTAGATTCTCCATAGGTAATGGCTTTGTCATCATATCTGAACCATTCTTATCCGTATGGATTTTCTCAAGTTGTAACTTCTTCACCTCCAGAACATCTCGAATCTAATGATACCTCACTTCAATATGCCCTGATACCACTTTGTTAGTATTGTACCAGAAAAACAAGTAGCGAAGTAAATTACAATCTCTCTATTCTACAAAATTTGGAATGGTAATAATAACAACCGGCTTTAATAACTCACACACAATGCAAAGATAAATAATAGAACACGAAAATTTGTTTACGAGGAACCCCTTCAGTGTGAAGGGAAAAACTTGAGGACCTAGTCCAGTCAAAGCCTTCCACCATGAAAAATAATGGCATACGCAATCAATCTTCTCCAAAACAAACTCCAAAGGCTACCAATACATCAAAAACACATATAGTTCTTGGATATCAACAGCAACATCATTCCAAAATGTATACATGAGGTAAGAAAAAGAAAATATCACTAAATAAGTGTATACTGACTAGAGAATTGAAGAGGAGTCTGGACGATCAGCTCCATTCAAAACGTAGCTCTCTTTGTTAGGACTAACATATTGAAATTTTAATTTAATCAGACCACGAATGAGCCTCGATCATTGGCAAAAAGAGCTAAAGTCCTTTTGTGTAATTCTCTCGTTCTCTTCTCTATTTTTCTCTATGTATCTATATCATTTATCTTTGATTTCTTGCTTTGAAAATTGGTTTGGTACTTAGTGTAAAGTGGTCCCGACTTACCACTAAAATTTACGAGTTCCCTCATGTGAGAGGGAGCACCCAACACAATTAAAGTCAATAATTAAATCATATATTCTATGGGATACACTACTTTTTGACCGCACATTCTATGAAGTTTTAGCAAAATCTACCAAAACTCTGCATTTTTTCCCACCAAAAGGGCAATGATTCCTTGGGTTAACCTCCTGTTGCATCGATCCAAGCTCTAGATTGTCTTATCTAGTATTTTCTATAGAGAAAAATGATGAAAAGTAAAATATGTTTTTCGTGTTCATGAGTGACAGTATACCAACCTATTTATATAAGCCTATGAGATAAGAATACAACAAATAGAGAGATAAGAATACAGCAAACAAAGAAACTAACCTAATCAACTCCTAATGATAATCACGTGGTACGTGGTAAGTGATATACTATCAATACCAGAAAGAATATTATCCCTTATCCCTTAACATTTTCAACATCTTGCACTTTATTATGTACATTGGTTGCATAACTCGGACCCATGAAGTTCATGTTTAATTTACCTAAAAAATTAATAAAATTTAAGTTTTGAACAATATTTTTTAGAGTTCTCACAATTTTTATTAATTTTTTAATGAAATATTTAGCCCCTATTTGATAGGGATTAAAATCAGATTTTTAGTAAATTTTAATTAAATATATGATTAAAAAATTGTGAACCCTATAAAATATGTGATTAAAGTTAATTATTGACTTCGATTTAGGTTACCAAACAGAAGCTTAAACAACTTTTATTAAAAAATTTATTCTTGGCAAAATGGTACAGAAACATAAATCCATCACATTTTTAATGGATTTAGCATCTTACATATATGACTAATTATGATTAGTACTTTAAATTAGATAATACATAATGACTAATAATGAGAGGGACATCTCATTTACTTCATGCATTATGATTAGTACTTTAATTAGATATTCCAGCATCACATTGGTAACCTAACATTCTTTTCTTAGAAAAGAGGCGCCTAACAATCACATTTTTTTTTTCTGTTATATATGAATATAAGCATTAATTAGGTCCGCCAATATTTCAAATATGTGAGAATCTCTCAATTTTGTTGTGTCATGGCTTTGGCTTAACGATACGCGCTCGATTTATTTAGTGAAAGTCAAAGACGCTCGTAGTTTATTGTCTTAATTGATATACAATGTTATATAAGTTATCTACTGAATATAAGAAAATAACTTGTAAATTAAACAGATGAGGTAAAATAATCTTGAAGAAGTGAAATTTTACTTCGGTTACCGATAAAAAAGTGTACACTTTTATTAATTCAATGTCCCTCGTAGTTTATTCTCTTAGTTGATATACAATGTTATATGTTGTCGAGTGAATATAAGAAAATAACTTGTAAATTAAACAGATGAGGTAAAATAACCTTGAAGAAGTGAAATTTTACTTTGGTTACTAATAAAAAGTTGTACATTTTTATTAATTCAATGTCCCTCGTAGTTTAATCTCTTAATTGACATATAATATTATATAAGTTGTCTACTGAATATAAGAAAATAACTTGTAAATTAAATGGATGTAGTAAATAATCTTGAAGAAGTGAAATTTTACTTTGGTTACCAAAAAAATTGTACACTTTTATTAATTCAATGTCCGTTGTAGTTTATTCTCTTATTTAATATACAATGTTATATGTTGTCGACTGAATATAAGAAAATAACTTGTAAATTAAACAGATGAGGTAAAATAATCTTGAAGAAGTGAAATTTTACTTCGGTTACTAATAAAAAGTTGTACACTTTTACATGTAAAATTAGGCCACGGATCAAACTATTAAAGATGGGTGACAGTGGATTAGTTGGGCTATTACTTGAGCTTCAATAAGATTTGGATTAGTTGGGCGTGGGAGTGCGCGTAGGGTTAGGGGTAGAGTGGGCAGGGAATCATAGTCATTAAGTATTAAAATTTTACTATAATACACGATGAGTATTTCGAATGTAATTAAATAAATAATATGCTTTTATTTATTTTGATAAAAGAGAGTTACATTATATTTTGAGCATGTGTATACAATGTCTTTAATTGCTGAGTGAATTATAAAATAGAATTGTTAATAAGGAAGATACTATTTTATATATTCATCGAGAAATTAATTGTTTATAACTGTAGAATAAGAGGTTGATACTCTGTTTTGTAAAAGTTGTAAAAGTTGCAACTCAATCAATTAGAGTATGTGGATTGCCATGATCGTGATGAAATCGTCTCGAGAGTAGTCACACAGGTACATTTTGTATGTGGAGAAGTGTATTGGACTTGATCAATTTGTGTAAGGTTTTAATTCTAATGCATTATCGTGTTAAAGTGAATCACTTTGACTGTTTTATAATTTACCTAGTTGCTATTCACGAACTCTAGGTCTTTGATATGACAATAGTGAAATATAATTATCGAGTCAAGTGCCTCAGTATTTTAGGAATCAAAAGTAAGCGAGTAGTAAATCATTATACAAGTTCAGAATCCGTTGCCAAATTCAAAGGGTAAAAGAGCCTGCTTAATTATTGAACTTGGTATTTGACAACGGACGAACTATCAACTGTAATTTAATCGCAAAGAAATCATTAAAGAAAATATTACCACGTGAGAAAATAATTAGTATTGGTAAAAAAGTCAATCTAGCTCAATGCTAATTATTTGATGTTCGACATGGATAATGAATTAAGATAACAAGTCAAGAAAACTTAATTCCAGGGAATAGAAATAATATATGGTAAGATTGACCATATACTTGAAAGATTTCTATGCTACTTAGAATTTACGCTTCGAAATTTCAAGACTATGATAACTTGAGCTCAATCCTGATTATAGACAAGATTGACGATGCCTAAGACTTCGCTTTATTGAGAGCCTTAAAAAAATTTTATTATACATATAATTATAAATAATAAAAAATCTCAAAAAAAACAAAAAGTTTTACATTCTTTTACTGTGTAATGGGACAATTTTTTGTATAAAAGCTAAATTTATATCGTCAAAAATAATAAACGCTTTCAAACACTAATTGGAAGCATGTGATAATGTTAAGGCATGTAAATATGCTAAAAATTTATCCTTTGACATTATGATCCTTGATTTTCTTGTTTGTCATAATTATTTCGTACAATATATTGTTTACTATTAAAATTTAAGAAAAATGGTACAAAACGAGGATAGACATTGGTGCTACTATTAGGGTGTGTTTGATACACCCAAATTTTTCATGGAAAATGGAATTTCAACGACATTTTTCAACTTTTAAAGTGTATGATGGGTATATTAATTTTTCCATGGAATTCAAGTTCTTGCTTTTCTTGAATTTTGAAATTTTATTGGTTTTTAGGTTGGGAATTGGTTTTCCCGGTTACTGTAGCATATATATATATATATATATATTTTTGGGTTGGCAAAGTTAATAAATTCTTAGAATTATTGTAAAAAAATATTTCTCTTCAATTGATAATTTTCATGTAAAACAAAACCAAACGAATATCAAATGATAGATGATTTTTTCGAATTTTTTTGAATTTTTTTTTTTTTAGGCAATGGAAACAAGTTTCATCCCCGATACCAATAAAATCTATCACTTTAATTGACAATTTTCATGTAAAACATAGCCAAACGAATACCAAAAAATACTTTTATTTCAACATTTTCCACATGAAAAATTATATCAATCAAACACAATAATTTACAATTCCCAAAAAAATAATTTCTAGACAATTCAATTTTCTGGAATTTGTTATCAATTCAATTTTATTACATCTTTATAATCAAACGGACCCTTAGTAACTTGAAAACACTTATTTAATTTTTTGAAATATATAGGAAAACTGAATTTGAATCTAAAAATATGAATTCTAAAGAAATTACTGTTCAAGTGGAAGTTGAACCTACAATCTATGTATTATCCACATATATATAACTTTGATCAAAATGTTAATATTGAGATAAAATATTGTGCTGAAAATTCTTTTAGAGTTTATTATTTATAGTTGATTAAGCTCTTTATTCATTTAGGTTAAGAATTGAACAATTTTAAAAATATGAGAATACTTTTGAGTTTCTGTATCAAAATGTTAATAGCTAAAAATGTACCAGCCAAGTTGCATGTCAAGCATTGTCAATTGATGAGACTCAAAAGGCTGGTAATTCAATAGTATTACTGATGAAGTACATAATGGATTAGAGTTCATGGCAAAATGGGACCATCACAAGGCAAAAGTTGGCAAAAAAGGGCAAATGATTTCATGATGACTTTGGATTTGCTCGTTTTTGGCAAACCACTAGTCTAATTTGATTGGAGTCGAGCCAAGGAATAAAACTCAGCGACTTCGGCCCTAACGCAAGGTCAATTTCGGACAAAATCCATCGTTTAGGCCCTCGTTTAATCGTTTTTGCTATTTATGGTAATTTTCATTTTTGCAATATCTCTTTCCATGAAATTCGGATTTAGATTCCGTTTGTTGAGGGATGATCCTGAAGATAAGTATTTTACATCTTAGTAATTATCTCATATTTTTCATTTTTGAAAAAAAAAATATTATTTTATTTTATTTTATTTTCCAGATTTTCCTAGGTTTTTCCTCTATTTAATCAGTTGTAAGCCTTTAGAGGCAGTAGTTCTTGAATTCAATAAAATCTTCTTTGAGAATTTTCTCAATTTGTGATTGTTCATGTTCCCTATAATATTTCCGCTATGTCAGTTGGTATCAGAGCCGAAATCATTCTTTCACCATGTCGCCAAGGAGACATCCTGAAGCCCGTGATGCCCCGGTAGAGGAGGTACATAGATGTGATAAAGTCGCATAGCTACGTCAACAAGTGGAATTGCTGACACGGCAGATCGCTGCGCTTATGCCACAGCAGCCTGCGCCTGCAGGCCAACAGCTTGGAGATTTCGATGATGAGAATCCGTTTGCACCACTTGAACAACCATTGGATCTGCCAGTTCACCAGAGAAGGGGTGGTCAGGAGGACAACGTTGGGAATCAAGATTTAAGGTGGATATTCCAGAATTTCATGGTGGGTTGAGTCCAGAGGAATCTTTGGATTGGATGACTGCAGTGGAGGAGGTCTTAGAGTTTAAAGAGGTTCCTGCTGATAAATGTGTGCCTCTCGTTGCAACGAGGCTTCGTGGACGTGCAGCAGCATGGTGGCAGCAGACTAAGGTGACAAGATCCAGGCTGGGGAAACCTAAGCTTGCATCGTGGGACAAATTGAAGAAATATATGAAGAAACAATTGCTGCCTTACAATTATGTGCGAACCATATACCAACAACTGCAAAATCTGCGTCAAGGTGGGAAAACGGTTAGTGACTATACCACGGATTTTTATATGTTCTTTACGAGGAACGAGATGATGGAGACGGGAGAGCAGTTGGTGTCATGGTACATGGGTGGTCTTCATCCCCAAATACAGGATACTCTCAATATGTTTGATCCTGTGATAGTTTTTGAAGCACATCAAAGAGCAACACAGATAGAGAAGCAACAATCCAGGAAAACCACTAGTCCTTCCATTGCAGGGAGTTCTTCTAGTAACCCACAACAGCAGGTGGCACATCCTGGTAATCCTGCTCAATCTGGTCTTCTTAGAACAAATCCTACCCAACAACCAACACGTCCTAGGGTTGGTATTCGTTGTTTTGGATGCGGAGTTACAGGCCACAGACAGTTTGAGTGCCCAAAGAATCCGCGCAGGGGACTCTTTGTTGATGAGGGAAATGGCGATTATGAAGATCCGCTTGTATTTGATGGTGAGGGCGGAGAAGAAGCAACAGAAGAGGAAGAGTTTCTGGTTGGTGATGTGGGTCAGGCACTGGTGATGAGAAGGAGTTTCCTGACTCATTTGGAGAATAACACTGATTGGTTGCGTAATAATATCTTTCAATCAACATGTACTGTTGAAGGGAAGGTGTGCAAATTTGTTATTGATTCTGGTAGTTGCGAGAATGTGGTGGCTGAGGAGGTCGTTAAGAAGCTGGGTTTGCAGACTGAGAAACATCCCAAACTTTATAAATTAGCTTGGCTGAAAAGAGGCAATGACGTAAAAGTGTCTCAACGTGCTAGAATCAGCTTCTCCATCAGACCTACCTACAAGGATCAGGTCTTATGTGATGTAGTAGAGATGGATGCGTGTCATTTACTATTAGGAAGGCCGTGGCAGTTTGACAGGCACTCGCTGCATAATGGATATACCAACACGTACAACTTTCTATTTGGAGGAAAGAAAATTGTGTTACTACCGGATAAGGGTTCAGTACAGACAGTTGGGAACAATGCCAATTTACTGACCAGAAAGAAGTTCGAGACAGAGATGGAGGAGTCTGGGGTAGTGTATGTGCTGATTGGAAAGTCGGTTGACAGTGAGCATGAAGTCCCTCTCGTAGTTCAGCCATTGCTAAAGGAGTTTCATGAAGTTTTCCTAGAAGAGCTTCCTGATGGACTACCACCACTGCGGGATATTCAGCATCAGATTGACTTGGTGCCTGAAGCTGCCCTACCTAATAGAACGCATTACAGAATGAGCCCCACTGAGCATGAAGAGTTACGCAGGCAAGTTGAGGAGCTTCTGGCAAAAGGACACATCAAGGAGAGTCTTAGTCCTTGTGCTATTCCTGCTCTTCTCACACCGAAGAAGGATGGCACGTGGCGCATGTGCGTGGATAGTAGGGCAATCAATAAGATTACGGTGCGTTTCCACTTTCCTATTCCCCGCCTAGATGATTTGTTGGATCACCTTACCGGTGCTTGTGTGTTTAGCAAGCTTAATTTGAAGAGTGGGTACCATCAGATTCTGATCAGATGTGGGGATGTGTGGAAGACCGCATTTAAGACGAGGGAAGGATTGTACGAGTGGTTAGTCATGCCCTTCGGCCTCTCAAATGCGCCTAGTACACTTATGCGGGTTATGAATTAGGCTCTACGCCCATTCATCAGTAAATTTGTTGTGGTCTACTCTGATGATATTTTAATTTATAGTGCTAACGATGACGAACATGTTCAGTACCTTCGGGAAGTTCTTTTAGTTCTTCGCAGGGACAAATTCTATGCTATAGTGAAGAAGTGTTCGTTTCTCACTGATCGTGTGGTGTTCCTGGGTTATGTTATGTCAAAGGTGGGGTTAGCAGTTGATACATCTAAAGTAGAGGCGATAAGTCAGTGGCCACAGCCTAAGACTATCACTGAGGTGCAGGGTTTTCATGGCTTTGCTTCCTTCTATCGCAAGTTCATACCGCATTTCAGTAGCATCATGGCACCAATTACAGATTGCATGAAGGATGGTAGGTTTCAGTGGACTCACGAGGCAGAGTTGTCTTTCCAATTGATTAAGCAGAAGTTGATTACTGCTCCAGTTTTGGTGTTGCCTAACTTTACCTAACCATTTGAGCTGCATTGTGATGCTTCCAAAGTGGGTATTGGTGGTGTGCTGAGTCAGAACAACAGCCCTGTTGCATATTTCAGTGAGAAGCTTTCTGGCCCGAAGTCTCGGTATAGTACTTATGATGTGGAGTTCTATGCAATAGTACAGGCCGCTCGACATTGGCGTCACTATTTGTTCCATAAGGAGTTCATTTTGTATACGGATCATGATGCCCTTAAACACCTTGGTACTCAGGATAAGGTTTCTGCTCAACATGCCTCTTGGATTGCTTATCTACACCAGTTTACTTTTGTGATCAAGCACAAGGCAGGTGCCCTTAACAAAATTGCAGATGCATTGAGTAGGCGCCAAACGCTCCTTACAGAAATGCGAGTGGAGGTTCCAGGTTTTGACAGGTTGTGTGACTTATATGCTACTGACCCATACTTTTCCCATGTTGTCCAGAAGTTGCAGGAGGGTGTGCAGTCGGAGTTTACATGGGTTGATGGTTTTCTTTTTCATGGCAATCAGTTGTGTGTTCCAGAGGGCAGTTTGAGGTTGAAGATCATTCAAGAGTTACATAATGAGGGCCATGTGGGTCGTGACCGAACATTGCAGCTTGTTGCTGCTTCTTACTTTTGGCTATCATTGCACAAAGATGTCAGCAAGTTTGTGGAGCGTTGTTGGATTTGTCACTTGGCCAAGTGCAAGGCGACCAATGCGGGCTTGTATATGCCCCTACCTATCCCAACCCAGCCACAGATGGTCAAACAGAGGTTGTTAACCGTTCCTTAGGTGATTTACTACGTTGTTTGGTTGGTGATCACATCAAGTCTTGGGATCAGAAGTTGTGTCAAGCAGAATTCACTCACAATCATGCTGTTAACCGAAGTACAGGTTTTAGTCTGTTCCAGGTGGTATATGGCCTTGTTCCTCGTGGTCCTCTTGGTCTGGTTCCAGTTTCCACTTCTGTTAAAATGCATGGTAAGGCCAAAGACTTTATTCAACAACTGCAGCAGGTTCACTCACAGGCTTATGATTAGCTGCAGGCTGCTGTCGCTGAGTATAAGCGTGTTGCGGATCTCAAACGCCGACATGTTGAGTTTGAGGTAGGTGACTTTGTTTGGACGGTGTTAACAAAGGATCATGTTCCTGCTCATGAATACAACAAGCTTACTGCAAAAAAGATTGGTCCATTGGAGGTCATTGAGAAGATCAATCCGAATGCTTACCGTTTAAAGCTGCTCAGCCATATTCGTACCTCCGACGTGTTCAATATCAAGCATTTGGTGCCATTTCATGGTGATAATTCTGATGATGATAAAGCTCCTTTCCCGTCAAATTCGAGGGCGAATTTTTTCCACCCTGGGGAGAATGATGAAGTGTATAAGGGATTAGAGTTCATGGCAAAATGGGACCATCACAAGGCAAAAGTTGGCAAAAAGGGCAAATGATTTCATGATGACTTTGGGTTTGCTCGTTTTTGGCAAACCGCTAGTCTAATTTGATTGGAGTCGAGCCATGTTTCTATGTATTTGCTGAATTACTTTGATATAGGGATCGATACATGTATCAGAATGTTTGTTGTTTCAGCTTAATTTTTTTGATATTATTATTTTGAGGAGAGAATTCCAAAATTGCACATTGAAGAAGTTGATCTTGTTGGATATATGAAGTGGAGAAGGATTAGATATTATGATGCACGAATGGTTGGAGAAGGACAAAGATTGGATCCATTAACAAATTTTCTTTAAGTCATAGCACCGTTGAAAAGTGAAATTGTACCTTAAGAGAAATGACATGAGATGAGAGGTGTTAGCCATGGAAGTAGAGGAGTGAGATGAATGATTTCCTCTTCCAATTTATGTTCTAATACCATGTTAAAATAAAATCATAAAACAATTGAGAGTTAAATTTACGAGCGAGATAATTATTAAAATCTTGACGTGCCTTTGCTATAGTACTAATCCATCCTAATGATATTGATAATACAACCTGATATGTAGGACAAGAATTATAATTGGTCACAACATTATCTTTGACAGTATAACTTGGGAGAAACTAATGTTTCATATTAGTGGGGCAAAATCCATCGTTTAGGCCCTCGTTTAATTGTTTTTGCTATTTATGGTAATTTTCATTTTTGCAATATCTCTTTCCATGAAATTCGGATTTAGATTCCGTTTGTTGTGGGATGATCCTGAAAATAAGTATTTTCTATCTTAGTAATTATCTCATATTTTCTATTTTTGGAAAAAAATATATTTATTTTATTTTATTTTCCGGATTTTCCTAGGTTTTCTTCTATTTAATCAGTTGTAAGCCCTTAGAGGCAGTAGTTCTTGAATTTAATAAAATCTTCTTTGAAAATTTTCTCAATTTGTGATTGTTCATCTTTCCTATAATATTTCCGCTACGTCATATATATATAGAGTAAAGTGCAGATGATTATTGTTCAAAGTGTCGATGTGAGAAGCTCGGAAAAAAAAATTAAGCATGACGAGGATTATGATATTGATAAGCATATCTGCATAAGTTTATTTTTGTAGCTGCAAATTGTTAGAATTGTTAGTCGAAGATACATAAAATGTGATTGAAGTTTTAGACATATAAAAATAATGGTTTGTTTTCCAAATGTGCAGAGGATTGTTTATAGAATAGAACTGATATACCTGTTGCACTTGCATATGTTGATAGGATTAGGGATGGCGGTGGATCAGGTTCGTGGCGGTGGCGGGCCCCGTTTGCTGCCCCTTTTCTTTTTCTTTTTCTTTTTCTTTTTCTTTTTAGATTCATATAGGCACGTCAAATTCATCAAGCGATAGCCCACCACCGTATGGCTGCCAATTGTGTCCATGTTCTCAATTACTTCTTGGATAACATCAAGCTGGCTGTCCATTCAACAGCCCTTACTTTATAATAATAAATTTAGGATTGGAAATATTTTAGTTTATATAATGAGTACTCATTCATTTGTGTTATGACTTTATTTTATAGTTGGCTCTGCTTCTTATCAATTTCTTAGCATCCAGAGATAGAATTTTTGTTATATAATATAGATCCATTCATTTTGTGTTTTGCAAATGTTTATATACCCCTTCTGAACCATGCATCTTCTTTAGCTTATTCTATAGTACATATAGTCTCTATTTTACTCTTGAATATGTATATACAAATTGTTGCATACATTTTATATTTTGGAGACTTCGAATTCTAACTTTTCCTTATCTTTTGGTTTACATGAAATGATTTGGTTTGGCCTTGTTTGAAAAATGAAATGCTTTGGTTTAATTCTGAAAAATTCCAAAATGCTTTAAATGGTTAAGAGATAAAAATTTCATATCGAATTAGAATGAAAACATAGACTAGTTTTTAAGGGTTTAGGCTACTTCTTTTAATAAGATTGACATTTTAAGATAGAATCTCAAATCTTAACATGGTATTACAGTCCATTAAACTTAAATGAATAATTCGATTCGATTAAGACTAAAAAAAATGAGCACACGAATTTCAAAATTGATTTGCTCAAATGAGCCGCATCTTGTGAGAGTATATTAAGGGATAAAATCACACATTGAATGAAGATAAAAATATAGACCAATTTATACATGAGGGATTCGAGATAAAGAGATTGCAAGCTAGAAGGACGGTGGGAGATGATTGTTTGGATAGGAGATGTGGACAAGTTTTAGCCTATACTCCAAGAAGAAGGCAACGGGACCTCATTGAGCACAAGATTTGAGCGAGAAGAAGAATCAATCGTAGATCAGCGAGATAGAAAATAGGTGATTAACCGAGGAAAAAAAGGAATGTTGTTGCAAAAGGAAGCAGCATCACACTTTTTAGATTGCTAAGACATACTTCTCTTCTGGTCTGTCTCCCGGCTAAAGAAGGAGGTTCAATCGATTACTTCTTTTAATAAGGTTGACATTTTCAGATGGAACCCAAATCTCAATATGTTAGATTTGAAAATGGTCAACAACCATTCAAAACAAACATCAATCACCCCTAGCTTAGACAAAAGATGAGATAATGGCCCAAAACGCTATCACAGATTTGAATTCAGTCTAGTTCTCTTATTTTTGAAAATTTTCGCTGATTCTTTTATTAGATCATATTGTTTTAAACAAAGCATAATTTTTCAATATTCATATAATGTTCTAAAATAGCTAATCTCAATTTGTCCCTTCACTCCATTCAATTCAATCCAAAACCATTTACAATGTTCCACGATACATTTCATTTAAATATGAAGGAAAGGTTCTTAGAAGCACATTTACATAATTCCCCTCACTTCTAACCAATAAACAAATTCTCCAAATTGCTCATATCATCAATTGGCATGATTATCATCTATCGATGATAGGGCATAGCCTGAGCTCGACTCTTTCTCTTATTGAGGAACCTTTGCAATGATCTCCTCATGCAAAGACTAGTCGGATTATGCAGTGGCGACTGAACCAACGGCGAACATGGATCTGAGCCGGGCGACCATTCCCTCTCCCGGTCCTCCATTTCTCGTCTTGCAAGCAATATCATAACTCGAGCCTGCATAATTTTCAAGAAACAAATACTTAATACTACGATAAAGTTTGATGTTCAAGAATGGTAATTAAATATTTAATGAACCATTTAACCATTATCCACAGCAAAGTCGAATCAACTAGTGATACGATCTCAGTAGAACATGTTAGAAAATTGAGTCGAGCGTACCTGAAGCTCCGTAACGTTACAAACGGAAACATTTCCATTGTAGAAAATGGTTAATTGTTGGTTCTGCTCTTCATTTGGACTCTCATTCACCATATTCAACCTTCAATAACATGTAATAAAGAATGAGCAAAACTGCAACCTTTTATGTTTTTCCAGTGTGGAGAGAGAGAGAGCGAGAGAGACTTACATTGGGTCAATGCGAGCATTGTGATCTGCAGAATGGAAAGATGCAGACGGTGTTACGAGCCTTAGCTCCAAATTACAGTTTCTCTTCATCTTTTCCTGTATGTGTGTGTGTGTATATATATATATATATACTATGCTGATGTAGAGAGAGAGGAGAGAGATCTAGAGAGAGAAAGTAAGTTAAACAAGGGCTGAAACTATGAGGGTGAGAGAGTGAAGAAAACCCAGATGAAATTTATATACAGAAGTGGAATTGGTGATGATGAAGTGGCGGTTTTGAAGATAGTGACAACTCAAACACGAAGCAGACGCAGAATGGATACTCTAGAAAAAGTTAAAACTTAAAAGAGGGACGAAAATGTGAAGAAATAATAAAATGCACGTGTAAAATGAGATTTATGTGGTTTTCTATCCACTAATCTTCAAAAGTCCAAACAAATGGCTATATTTCACTCATTTGAATAAGTCGGCCATGTGTTTCTTTTTTCTTATTTTTTGAAATTTCGAATACTCATTGGCTAAGCATGGTTTTGTCTAATAACACGTTTTAAAACTTTAATCCATGTTATAATATTTGTCGTCGATCTTATTGATATTTTTCAAGCGCCTACGATTCGAACCTTTCACCTTTCTTAAACGGATAGAGCATAAACTTTTGGTGTTAATATTCGCGGAAACCTTTTTAAATCATTACAATAATACAATCTCTCGTATGGTTAGATAAAATCTTATTGTTAAGCTCTTTTTAAAAAAAATAAAAATAAAAAAATTGCTGAACATAATATTAATATTATATTGAAGTAAGGCTATGTTTGATAGCCCAGTTTTTTTCATGGAAAATGGAAAACAAATTTCATTTCCCACTTTTGGCTTGTTTGATAGCCAAAATTTTCCTACCAATTCGTTTTCCACCTTTGCCTCACAAGAGCACCAATTCTTGGTTTTGGAGAATTCATTTTCCCGTGGGGCCGGTGGTTTTATGTTATCCACCTTTTTTTTTAATTTTTATTTTTGGTAATGAAAACAAATTTTAAGAACAATTGTAAAAGAAGATATCCCTTATATTGACAATTTTAATGTAAAACAAAGTTAAACAAACACCAAAATATAAATAATTTTTGGATTTTTTTTTGGTGGCAATCGAAACAAATTCTAGGAATAATTATTTAAATGAATATCCCTTGAATTGACAATTTTCATGATAAATAAAGTCAAACGAACATCAAAAAATACTTTTATTTTAACATTTTTCAAATGAAAAATTTTACCAATTAAACACTATTAATTGACAATTCTACTAACACAAATTCTGAGCAATTTAATTCCTTTCAATTCGTTTTCTTTCTACCCAAATTTCATCTTTGCAATCAAACGGACCCTAATATTTTGCCCCTGTTTGTCACCTATTATTTCATGTCTACCATATTATTTTTTTCACTGTATTCATTTTCAATTACACATTTTTCATTAAAATAATATTTCAACAAACGAAAAAAAATTTCTTTTTTTTATCCACACATTCTCCAACAATCTATTATTCTATAATACACTTTTCAAAATTAAAGAGGCTCAAACACACCCTTAAAAGGGCTATACGTTATCACCAAAATGTATTTCAAAGGTCAACAAAGAGACGCTTATCCATCAAATAAAGAGCTATTAGTCACAAACTCCTTGAGTTTATTGATATTTTGTTAATTTTTCCTTAAAGTATAATTAAGTCCATATTATATAACTAGGCAAACTCTCATTGTTGAGATTATCTTATTTAACACTACCGGATAATATCTGCTCGCACATTGTCATAAATATTAAGGGCATGTTTGCCAATTTTTTCAATTGGTTTTTATTTTTATTTTTATTTTTGTGTGGCACTGTTTATTAAAAGTAAAAAATCAATGTTTGTTAATTTTTGGGGCACTGCTTCAAAAACTACTTAAAATCAAGAGTGCATTTGGGTTGTATTTTCTACTCACCAAATTACTGATTCTTGGATTTTTTTTTTTTCTTTTTTTCAATTTTTCTTCCAAAATTTACCTTCTCTAAACTAAATGTTTCCAAATCTACTCTAAATAGAATGAAATTTGGACAAAAATAATAGAAATTAATCTTTGGAATGCTCTGTTTCTTCAAAATACACTCTTCAAATCTTCGATCAGATATTATCTCTCGTTTCTTATGTTTGTTCCTTTTCTTGATTATCTCTAGTTTCTTACTATGTTCTTATGATTGTTTGCTTGATTCCTTGAATGACATCTTTTTGTTTACTTGTGAATACATTTTCAAAACTAAGTTTAGGATTCAAGAAACTAAACTAACTAAATGAGTAATCTTTGTATTTACTGGCAGTAGATTCATTGTTATTATTATGGATCGAGCTCCATGTACAGGAGCTCGGTTCACAGGGACTCTACAAGCCCCCTCACTATAGGGGGTCGTGTCCCACAGCAATTAAAAAAAAGGAGGGTCCTTCCCCCACCTGCTCTCTCATCTGGTAGGGGCCTGTGAACTAGGCCCCTGTAACTCCATATTTTTTCTATTATTATCCAAACATCATTTCTTTTCAGGCTAATTTATAAATTTATTTATAATTATCATTGTATACAAGTTTCGTTACTATTTTTTTTCTTCGTTCTGTTTGTTATCTCTACAATTTTGTAACATCAGATGGTCGATCATCACAATTTCAATAATAATTATCATGTACATCTCCATATGCGTACATCATATCCATATGATGTTTCTCTAAGTGCTAACTGGTTCAAGTTTGAATCGAATTAATTGTGCAATGCGTTTGCGTAGTGAGGGTGTAAAAGATGAAATAATTCAACATAAATTTTCAATCATGGATTATACTATTTTAAAATCTATTACTCAAAATATGACCACTTGTAAACGCTCAAAATCAATGTTTTAAATATTCTCATTATCGATACCCCAAAACTCCTAGCTGAATCCTAAGGAAACAAGGTCAAATGATTGAATCAATAATTAATAAAAATATTTAATTATTCGTGTGTAAGCGATTATTAAAAAAATAATATTATTTACAGTCACTCACTGTAGTAGTCGCTTTATGTGATATACATGTGACGGTTAGTGATTTGATACATTAATATGATAATTTTTTATTGCTTCATGTAAGAAATTACTAATCGCTATATATATGCGTAGGACAACTGCGATAATTTAGTGACTGCATATAATATTATTTTTTAAAATTACTTTTTTTTTAGCTCCATTTCTTTTGAACCGTTTATATTTGAGAATAGATAACTGACAATGAAATAAATGAATAAATTGAAGACCATTTTCTATACGCGCTAAATTCGCGCGTACGTTTTCTTGTATGTGTTCTTTCCACAATAGGACAATATAGTGACAGGGCCATTTGCTATTTGTCGATGAAATGAAAACCCAGAAAAGAGCCGCAAATATTTAGCTAAATACAACGAGTACCAGCTAAGCTTGATTCCAATTAATTAAATAATATTGTTGGTCAATCATTCCTTCGCGGAAAATCTGCTGAAGTCCCTGTTTTCATCAAACTTTCTTCAGTTTTATAATCTGTAAGTATATTTTTTTTCTTTCTTCCTTTTATATTAGCCGAAAGTTGCTTTCATATTGGATTTATTCAGTTTTTTTCTTGTTTTTTATATTGATTTTGAAATCTGAATTGCTGTGAGTTTTTCCCCCTTTTGTGCTGTTCTGTTGAATAATTAAAAGTATGAAAATGAAAGATGTGCTACATGTTTATTTCACCGTGTGAATTTGGGTTATTTGTTAGAAATGAATGAGAAACTGAGGTATTCCCACGTTTCTCATTTTATTGCGGTGCTTTGTGCCTTTCCTTTTCAGCTTCATAAAGTTTGTCAAAGTTTGTCAGCTCAAGTCTGGAAGTGGAGATAAAAAGCAGTGGCTCTAAATTCAAAAGAGAGAAAGGATCATAAATGTGACTTTTTTTATTATTATTTGGTTGAATTTTGGAATTTCAGATGTGGATTTGCTATATTTAGTATCAGTTATTGTGAGAAGCTAGAGGTCTTGTGAGTAAAGAATTTGAGGCAATCCATTTTGTGATTTGCAGAATCTTTGATGCAATTAATAAGATGTGCAGATCCTAATGAACTATTTGGGAAGTGATTAGATTTGGGCTTGTTATTTTTCTGATAAAATTGCATTTGAAGAAAAGGGCATATTTAAAGAAGGGCTAGTTCAGTTTGTTTGGTTATATACATTTAGTGTAGAGGAGAGAGATGCAAAGAGTGCGTGTTTCATCGTTCCAATCTCCAATCTCCAAAATGACATTATCTCCACAATTTGGATTAGCTGAAATCCAGTCATCTTTGCTAGATCCTTCACTAGAATTAGAACTATCGAATAGGGGAGAGCGGCTGATTCCAGGCCTTCCTGATGATGTTGCTTTGCAATGCCTCCTCCGGGTTCCAGTTGATAAACACTCAACCTGCAAGGCTGTCTGCAAGCGTTGGTATTCGTTGTTTGGCAGCAAGGAGCATTTTTTCACTCGGAGAAAGGAGTTTAGTTTCCATGATCAGTGGCTTTTTGTCTTTGCACACCACAAATGTACTGGAAAATTAGAGTGGAAGGTTCTAGACCTTACCCAGTTCTCTTGGCACACTATTCCCGCTATGCCTTGCAAGGATGAGGTCTGCCCCCAGGGATTCAGGTGCGTGTCCATCCCTCATGAGGGTGTTCTCTTTGTTTGTGGCGGTGTTGCCTCTGATGTGGACTGCCCCCTCAATTTAGTACTGAAATATGAAGTTTGTAAGAACCATTGGACTGTGATGACAAAGATGATCACTGCACGGTCGTTTTTTGCAAGTGGGATAATTGATGGGATGGTATATGTGGCTGGTGGAAACAGTCGTGATATGGTCGAGCTTAACTCGGCTGAGGTCCTCGATCCTAATAAAGGAACCTGGCGTTCAGTTGCAAACATGGGAACAAACATTGCCTCTTATGATGCAGCAGTTCTTAATGGGAAGCTCCTTGTGACAGAGGGTTGGTATTGGCCCTTCTATGTTGTACCCAGGGGCCAGGTTTATGACCCCATAACAGATAACTGGGAGAATATGGCTACTGGACTGCGAGAAGGCTGGACTGGTTCGAGCGTTGTGATGTACGAGCATTTGTTTGTGGTTACAGAGCACGAAAGAACAAAACTGAAGGTTTATGACAATGAAACTGATTCTTGGTGTACTGTTGAAGGACCTCCTTTGCCAGAGCAGATATGCAAGCCTTTCTGTGTCGACTGCTGGGATAACAGGATTTATGTGGTAGGTCGAAATCTTCACCTTGCCGTGGGCCATATCTCGAGCCCTTGCCCAAGAGGCTCATCCACAAAAAGGTGCAGATTTTCTGTTCATTGGCAAGTGGTGGATGCACCTGAATCCCTCTCTGAATTAACACCATCAAGTGCAAAGGTTCTATTTGCTTGAACTACTTTGAGTTTGTGATTATGCTTTTTTTTGCTGCTGCCACTGTTGTTATATGAGAATGTCAATATATTAAAGAGATACTAGCATGTGAAGCACTTTCCTCTTGGTATTTAGATCGTATAATTGTGGTTTGTCTTTACAAAAATTACTGCTATAACCAATTAAGATTTTGTTTTTCATTTCTTTTGCCAAGATTTTCTTTGCTTTCACGTCTTATATGATGGTGCTAAATGATGGAAAACTACACTGCATTCTTTGAAAACTAAATGTAAAAGTTGATATGGTATTTGCTCCACATTTGGGGCATCCATTGCCCAAGAACGGCACATTTTTTAGAGTTTCATGCTGTACTTGCAGATTTTACCATGCAAATCATAGTTTTGTGCTGGATACACTGGACAAGGAGCTTTTTCCTTAATCTGGGATTATTACTTTCTGTCGAAATTAATTAAACTCTATGGTTTCTGCTTATGTGTATTGTTATGAGACTAGACTTATTTCTATTTTTATTATTAACTCTATAATTTATACATTGCCTTAATTATATAAAAATATAGTGCTTCGACGGTGATGTAGAGGTGTGGTGTTCACTGGAAGGAGAGCTTTTGTGCTCTGAATTTTGCCGTGGATATTGTCTCCATCAAAATCTCTATTACATGAGCAAAGCTGATCATGATAACAATTGTCCAATGCTTGTGGCATCGTCACATCAGTGGTCAAGCTATATTTTTTAACTTTTAAAATGGAAAAAGTGAAAAAGAATAATATAGTTTGTAGTTGACAACTATAGTAATCATCATATATGACAACTTGATATTTGAAATAAGTTTAAGACATTAATTTCTTGTAATTTTTTTGTCTCAAATAACAAGATAGTAGCAGACTATGAATAATATTACCCAAAAAATGTTTGATTTGTTGGCATGACGTTAAATCAGTAAATGAACATTATAACTTTTGCCCACCATAGACGAGATCATTTCTAATTAGACAAGACTATATGGTCAAAAAATTTTTCCTCAGACACAATTATTGTAATCATGCCTAATTTTAAGCTCTAATTGCTTGAATGCTACTTAACTAACAATAAAACGTAGCTACTATCCAACAAGATTGCTTGAGCTGTCTTGTGATGGATATTGATAGTTACACTAAAGTTAAGTTTCGATTTTGAATCATCTTATTATATAGAGTTGCTGTTTTTTCTTAGTTATCTTCCAAAATTGTATCACTGGACCGTTACGTTTTTGAGTTTTTGAAGTAATCAACAAGAACTTGAATTGGACACGGCTTATGACCAAAACCACCAATTAATGATGAATTCTACTCAAAAACATATACGTGTGACATACCATAATTTGGTGCGGTTCAACCTACCATTCATGACAACTATATACTCTTCTTGACCAAGCTACTGTTCTTTTGACTAACCCGAGGTCACATTCAAATCAACAATGCTACATAGACAGACGAAAAAATAGGTTCAAAAATTGGGTGCACACATTTCTACACATAATTGGATCGTTTGAAAAATGAACACAAAAAACACCCAATCATCCACTGTCAAGTCAAACTATTTTTTTCCTATCTTTGAGTTTGGACAAACATCATTTTCCTATTTAGATTTGGCACCTTGACAAGTCAAACTAAATAACTTTAGTTTATCTCACAAATTTAAACTTAGAGGGTATTTGATAGATATTTTTATGTAAAAATGGATTTTAGAATAGTAAATTGATGTAAAATGTGTCAATGAAAAATAAGGAAAAATTTTCGATTTACGTGTAATATTATTTTAATAAAGAATGTGTGACTGAAAAGAAGAGAGAGATGCATTTTGAAGACAATGGCTACCAAACGGGGCCTTAATTATTCGTTCGGCTATCACTCTCAAATTTCCTTGACGTATAATAGAACTATTTCTCTGTATTTTCTCCTTTTACTCGATAACATTTTTGTGGGTTTTGACTTTATGAAAAATGGAACAAAGAAGTGAATTCTTGATATTGTACAGTCAATAACCCCAAGATATTGGGTCACAATCTTGCCAATTACCACAATAGTTCATCGTATTTCCACCGCGAATGACATCCTCAAAAATGAAAAATGACCATCTAAACATGAAAATCCACTCAGCCCCAATCATTGCATGCTCTATGAGCATAGTTCGCAATAGTTGATAATCAATCCATTCAATTCATGTGCTCGAGAATAGGAACTGACTCTAACAATATGATAAATGCACTTTACAGTTACAGTCAAGGGTTGGGACAAAAGTAAAAAAATGACAACTATCACTTCCTGTACACAAGGCAACTGGAAATTACAAATTTCCAGCCACTTGAAAAGGACACAGATTTCCATCCCCAAGACATATACAAGGAAAAATGGTAGTATAGACTGTTTCAAGCAAGATAGTTGTATATCTGAGGGTTACTTTTGTCACGTTCCAGGTACTCCCGGTCGATGAGGCTCTCAATCCTTTTCTTCAAATCCGTTGGTTTTATTGGAAACTTGAGCTGTTTCACAAAAAATTAAGATGACATTATTAAGTTGAATGACAATTAGAATCATAATTGCACAGGAAAGGGATTTCATTTCTATACCTGCTGAAATAGCTCGGTTATTAACAGTGTATGACTAAGCACTTTTCTAGTCTTCATTATCCGAACAATAGCAGCATCAACCTGTACCAACAGTTGTACCGAAAGATAAATTAGCATTCATTGCAAAAACAAATAAAGGATTTCCCAAGGTTATGCAATAGAATTTTCTAGAATGTGATAGGATGTTGATGTCTAAAAGTAAACCTGGTATTGACGATCTTGGAACACCCTTTCAGTGGTGCTCGTGTTCTCCTCGACTGTTTCCTTCATCTGTATGGCATTTACCTGCTCATATCAAGTAAACTTAGCTTCAACATTACACGGTGAGATTCATTTGAATGAAAAGATGATATATAACAAGGTTACCTTTATACGATAGAGAGGAGCAGTAAATTGATCATTGAACTCAAAGGAGTCATCATCCTCCACGTCTCTCCCTTTGGGAATCTGTAAGGATGATTATTTCTAGCAACTGAGAATTGTTTGCGAACTTGAAGAAAGAAAAAATTAGGTATGGCCATGACCACTCACTTTATGAAGAACACGAAATTTTCCACATGCAATGGACTGCAAAGTCCTCCTCAGTTCTTTATCTTCAATGCCAGTAGATTCCTTAATATCTTGGAAGCAGAGCTTTTGTGCATCATTAAACAGCATTAACACAACAGCCTGGGAAATTGAAGAGACAGATGAACCAAGTTGATGAAACATTTATATTAGTGCCCAGGATTTATTAAAAATATAAGAGGAGACTTATAAGCAGCAATGTTATGAAAACTGTATTGGACCTGCCAGTTCAACCAGAAAATGGAAACCGGTTCAGTTGTGTTAAAATCTGATGAATGAAAAACCAGCACAAAACTCGGACAACTGGCTGGGTCAACTAGGAACCGATGACCCGGTCCAGGTTTCAACGAGTTGACCGTTTTTAAAAAGAAAGGAAGTCAACCATCGTAGAAACTCTTCTTTTCAGAACTGACATAAGATTTGTTTCCCCTTCATATATTTTTCAGAAATTTTTCCATTCTCCCGTTCTCCAATTACAAACCCTCAGTGAATGACCTAAATGAGGAACCTGGTGAAGTCTTTTTAAAAAGTTGAGGGGTGGGCCATCTCTTCTTCTGCTTTCTATTCAATCTTTTTCATGGCTATGAATGACAAATATAGGCACTGTTTGACTCACATTATTTCCAAAAAAAAAAAAAAATTCTTAAACAGTAATTTGACATTATATCAACTACACATTTTTCAATAAAATAATACTAAACGCAAATCTAGGGGCACATTTGGCTTGCCATTTTCTGTTTTAGTTTTCAAAAGCGCCCAGAACACGTTTGGTCACTCGTTTCTGAAAATAAGGAAAAATTTATAACTTAAGTCAAAACGATTTTTTTCCATTTCGAGTGTGTTCAGTTAAAAAACTCAACACAAAAAACGCTCAAAATTTCTGTGATTTTTTTTTTTCTTTTTTTTTTTTTTTTCTTTTTTATGGATGCTCAGCAGTACTTTTAAAATAGTAAATTCGTCAAATTTAAAATATATATTATCTGGTAATATATTAGCATAAATTATTATGTTTTACTGAATAATCAAATTAATTGAATAAATGTCATAAAATAATTTCTAAACATTTATTTTATTTTTTTGTAGCAAGAAAAAATAGTAAATTCATCAAGTTTAAATTATATTTTCCGATAATATATTAGCATAAAATTATTATGTTTTACTAAATAATCAAATTAATTGAATAAATGTCATAAAACAATTTCTAAACATTTATTATTTATTGTTTTATTTTGTAGCAAAAAAAAAAGTAAATTCACCAAGTTTAAAATATATATTATTTGGTAATATATTAATATAAAATTATTATGTTTTACTAAATAATCATTTTAATTGAATAAATGTCATAAAACAATTTCTAAAAATTTTAAACCAAAATCATTTTCTAGTTTTCTATTTTGAGAAACCGTTTTTCAAAATGACAAACCAAACACGTTTTCTATAATTCGAAAATAGTTCCTCAAAACAGAACAATGAAAATAGAAAATAGAAACGCAAACCAAACAAATCCTAAAACTTTTCTTTATTTTTTAAGAAAATAGAAAATAGAAACGCAAACCAAACAAATCCTAAAACTTTTCTTTATTTTTTAACCACACATTTTCCATCAATACACTGTTCACAAATGTATTCTTATGAAAGTAATGTGGCTCAAACAAGGGCATAGAAAAAACAATCAAATTATTATATAATTACAAATAAAAAGATTTTTTAGCGGAACAATTGACTACATATTAGACTTTTATTTATTATTTTTTAATTAATATACATTTATATAATTATTTTTACACCTGGTTGACCCTTTCTCTTCGCTAGTCCGGTCCAATATTCAAAACATTGATAAACAAACAAAGCAACCATGGTCGAGTGGGACAAAACCTGAAATAGAGAAACTGCCAGCTCCTTTTTACCCTTAGGGAATTCCGCTTTCAGCACACACTGACCCAATGAGTTTTGCCACATCAACCGCCTCCCACTGTACTTGCTTAGGTAGAACTCCTTAAAAATAT